GCAAAATATCTCTCCCATGATAACTTCCTGACGCAAACTCATATCCGAATAATTAATGTATATATATGCATATATAATATATATATATATATATACTTTTTCATAAAGGAAATTGAATATTGTCTCAAACTGCTATGTATAATTTTCATTGTCATGATGTTAGACAGTGCAGTTTGCTATAAACGTAATATGATGTTCTAGCCATCAGTTTGTAAAAAAGTACAGTAGTCCTAATTTTTGTCGAATTTCCATTTGCAAGCTACAATTTAATAGGCATAGTCAAAGATAATAGCCAGTGTGATGTTTGATTATGTCGTTGTATTTTAATTTAGTTGTAGTTAAATGTAGGCAATTAAATATAAATCGACATAGTCAATGATAATAACCATTATTAAGTATGTGTGTTTTGAGGTCTATGGAATAGACGCAGGGCCTTGTACAATTTCAGAAGTTTGCTATGTTTTAATTTTATAAATATTTATTAATAATAAAACGTCAACAAATAGGTACAGTCTACTGTTTTATATGAACAAAGCCAATAATGGTTAGGCCTATAACATGACAACTTAACTGTGTATGTGTGCACGTCATAGCTTGTTAAAAATATTCCATGAAAATTGTACAGTGTTGTATAGTAAAATAACATTTTATTCGTTTGCTTTGGATGTCATACTGTATGTCAGCTCTGCCTCCTTTCGAAGATAAAAAGCAGCCCACGTTTATTTACGGTGACAAAAGACTTATGATAGGCTAATGACCTACGGGAATACGTGAGAGAGGTAACATTGGAACGAGCATGGAAAGCACCATGCCAATATTGTTTTAATAAGTTCTCGAATAATAGTCCAGCAAACTTTGGTTGGTTGCATTTTTTTTTGCTATATTTGTTAAAAATTGGATATGATGTAGAGTAGACATTGATAAATCAAAAAAGTATGTGCAACATTTTTTTTTTCATACGTAAGGGGGGTTGCCAGCAGTTTCAAAATGGCCGCCATTTTTTCCTAAAATTGTCACTAATATTGTATGTTTATGTTATTAAAATGCAGCATTCAATTGGAAATCCACTGATAACAATGACAGAAACAGTTAACTAAATATTGTACACATTTTTAACTATTACAATTTAAAATGGCTGCCATTTTCCATTATTTTAGATTTTTTCATACATATTAATATAATAATAACCGACCTGTACAAAAACTGTGATAGAGGTAGTTATATGCAATTGCCATATGCTGTTATTATCATTACCATAATATATATATATATGATATATATTTATTTATATATATATATATATAC